CTGTAACTGATCACTTTAAATATTAAACTTGAAGAGTCAAGACATAGAGCCCTAATTCTGCAGTAGACAATTTCAGAATGAGATTCAAGTATTTTTAATCATTAAAGACTGGCAAAATTGAAATGCCACTAAGTAAGTCAAAGAGAAAACCCAAATGAAAAATTATTTACAACTACTTGCCAGATTCACATTTGAGCCACTTGTGGTTTGTTAAGTCATGTTTTTACTAAACTGAAAACACAATGTTATGTTGAAGTCTAATAAAACCTCATAATACAACTGTTACAGAACTGCTTTTTACAGCTTCTTCAAACATTTCACTGATCTGGAAAGCTGTAATTTGAAAGAAATTAGCAATAAAAGAACTATGGAGCTTATTTCTAAGTTACAACTCATTGCTTGGTGATGATAGGAATGAATAGTTACATAATAGACTAAACAAAAAATTGCACAATCAATGATAATCTGATTTTACTAATACAGAAAGCACTTTCTGTCACTTAGAATCCATGTGAAAAATGTTAGGATTACTTCCAATATTTAGTTTTACCTATATACAGAATGAGGAGGTCTTCAATTATTTCAGCAAAATGAAACCGAAGTATATAAAGACAATCCTGACATACTGCAGAAACTTAAAGATTCATCAGTAAAACCTGCATAACATTTAAATTTGTTGAAAAAATTAGTGTGTTTCATTTTCGCTCTCTTCATCCGTACAAATTATACATGGGACTAACAACTGTGATGCATTAAATCTGATAATGTAGGTCAAAAGCATGTTATCATGCCCAGCAGTTATGTTTCAAAAAATAATTGCCACTATTCTCTGAACACAGCTCCAAGAAAATAGGATCTTGTCTGACAGTGATGGTTACAAACCCAGTGCCTGTCACCAAGAGCTCAACAATTACCTGTTGAGTGACTGAAATACAAGTAATATAAAATTTCACCTTGGTCATTTATGTTGATTTTACATGTTCAGAACTACTCCTCTGAAAATAGTGTAACCTGGATTTTTATTTGAAACTGCACTAATCTCTGTTTTCAACTTAACCCTCAGGTCATATAACACAATACAATGAACAACTAGTATTTACACTTTCATGTTATAAAAGGCTGCCTCTGCTTGTCCTCTATGTCATAAACGAGTTCATATTCACAGACTAATTATTTGTGGATGGAAGAACTTTGGCCTGTGACATCTAGAAAATGCAGATCTCAGTGAAAGCAGCCGCTGGCCAGCACCATCTGGGTTGCGGAACTCGTTGAACATGACGCAGGTCACTTCTGTAAAACCCAGGTCTCAACACGGACAGGATTTGTGGCACAGTAAAGAGCCCTGGCTCCTGACTATCTGTACAATGTATGTGTCTGTTGGGCTAAGGACTATGCCAGAGATGAAGGTAAAGATGTACCAAAGTTACTCAGCACTGCTCGTCTTATTCTGTGCAGGGAGAGAACTGAGGGGATGATGCTCTCACCTGCTAGTAGTTGTAATGATTATCCAAACATCATTACTAAAATCTAATCAAGCCCAAAACTAAGCATCTTATATTTTTTAAGTTTTGACTCTTTTTTTTTTTAAAGAAACCCTGAACGTTGTTATATTATTTTTATCCTAGACTTCATAACTGGACATTATATTTGTTTATAAGTTAGCAGTTATTTCATATTTAAAAAAACTACACTTTTATAAATTGGTATCTGTTTAATCTCCAAAATGTACTGTTAAAGCCAATGTTAAGGTTACTTGGTAAACTTAAACCTCTCCTATGGCAAAAAGCACATAGGAAAAGTATACATTTCACATACTGCCACACAGCTGGAAACATACCCTCGAAACCAAGAATAAAAAATTATTCAATATTAATAAAATATAAATCAATGTATAAGTTAAGAATCAAGATAAACTGTTGAACACCACCTCAAGTAGTTCTTTATATTAATAAGATAACTAGGCAAGTTCAAAAGGAGTCTCTCCAAATTAAAACCACTATAGAGAGCAACCACAACTTTTCAGTAAAATATTTCCTTGTTAATTCCCTTAATAATCAATCACAGAAAATTGAGATGGGCCTCAAAACATCACTATTCCCATGATACCCTTCCATTTCTCCATTAGATATCTAAGCCTTCAGCACCCTGACCCTATGGACACTTCTAGCTCCATTCCTCTCTTCCCTATGTAGCCCTTTTAAGAGAGGAAGTGAAAATCAATCCTCAGTGATGGGGCTAGAGGAGATCCAAACTCGGCACTCTTGCTCCCAACCCACTAAAAGACAAAGTAGTTTACAGTTACAAATGGCAAACAAACTCATACCTATACATGAGTTTTAAACCCTAACTCTCTCCCTCTTTTTCTCCTTAGAAAATTATGTCAGATAAGGATTCCTGGGTGCCTGACTGGCTCAGTCGGTGGAACGTGTGACTCTTGATCTCAGCGTTGTGAGTTTGAGCCCCATGCTGGGTGTACACATTACTTAAAAAAAGGGGGGGGGGGATTCTTGTTCCAGAGACATTCCCAGTCTGGAATTTGATCTAGTCATCCTATAGTGTCATTTACTAAGTTCCTGTCTCCCTTGCATATTATATAAAATGCTTCCTGGAGCTACAGGCAATGACATAGTTCAGATTCAATTTCTCAGAAAACAATCGTTCAGATACTTTTATTGAGTAAAGGGCTTACAAAGTTGGAACATTTTAATTTTCTTTCCTTCTTCCCTTATCACATAGAATAATTATCAGAGAACAAATCTCATCCATTTCTTGCTTACACCGAGTTTAGGTAAGGACAATTTCATTCAAGAAAGCTTGATTCAACAGGAGATTCTTTATGTTTATTTATCAATTTTGCTAATAAGTTAGTTCCCTAGCATTCTTCAAAGGTAAAAAAAAATGAAAAGATCTTTTTTTGTGGTGTCTGTGAACCTAAGGATTTTATCATATATTATATCTTCATTCAAAACAGTTATTAGTAGTAGTACTGCTGTTCAAATTATCCAAACTTAGGTCAGTGTTAGCTTCTTCAAGTTGGCTCCTGGGTCCTTTTGACCTGAAACCAAGCACCTTGGTTACCTCTCTACTTTCCAATGTGAAAAGATGTCTAGGCTCTTGTAGTACATTTCCTGCCCAGATCTGGAAATCAATTGTTTCTCTAAGGTCCCCTGGTTCCTCGGAATGAAAATACACAACATAGGCACTAAGGGGTGCTCACTGCTACCGGGCTGGTCATTTGTTACAGGGAACTTTTATGCAAAGTAGTAAGCGACAGGGACTTTTGGAATAAAACGTGTGAATCACAACAATATATTCAACTTAGAATAATGACTATAGGATGCAATATATTCTCGCAAGATTTAGACTTATATCTACTTTGTGGAACATAAATAAATCCCATTACGGCTGTCCAAGTCCATGAAGCAGATAGAGGTGACAGAAGGGGCTTACAGTCATTGAAAAAAAACTCCACGAAACTTTCACTGCAGGTGATGAAACAACTTTTTTATATTCTGTCAAGGATCAGCCAAATTTCCAAAGTCACCAACAAGTGAAAACTGAATGCCTTCTAGCAAAGTTTCAAAGTTTGTGGTCAAAGTCTCTAAAGTACATGCATTCATGGATATATATAAAAACTACTGGCAGTATCAAAGATGAAATGGCTTTTCAGGCATGATGTAGGAGAATCTATGCTTCCCCTAAGTCTGTGTTCACATGGAGAAGAACAGTCTGTGGGATTCATGCTGCTAACGGCTTCATGCCCCAGTGCCCCCATTGAGGCTTACAACCTAGACTGGAAAGCCTGAAGATAGGGACAAGTTCTTTGGTGACTTGCTGGTCCCCACAAGTACCTAACACCGCATTCGTTTCTCCTTTCACTTCTATTGCCCAGAATGGAAGTAGCGGAAATAAAAGAAGCATGGGCACCCAGTACGCAAGAAGCCAAAAAGAAAGTCTCACTGTAGCCTGACGAAACACTTTTGGACCAATCCATACCTTACACCACAATATGGCTCAGTGTAGACTCATGTACACATAAAACTTCAGCCAACAGTCATGCATGCTCAGCACGGCCATAATCATATTGCTACTAGCTTCCCCCAGGGCCACAGTGATTTGGATATTCTGGTAAGTAAGAAATAGGAAGACGATGAGGAAGAATGAAAGGCTCAATGTAGTTCTCTAAATAGGTGATGCAGATAAAACAGAAATTGTGTATACATAATGTCAAACTGATCTGTAAAATAGGTGAGGCAGATGGTACAGGTTGATCCTCTTGTCAGTCGATCCACTCTGACAACTTTACAGGAGATGCTAAAGTCCATGTTCTCCCCTTTCTCTAGGGATCTCCTCATTCCAGCTAAATGACGGGTTCTGATTTGGAAAATGGAATTCTTCTCTTCTTCTTCCAAGAGGTCCCAAAGCCATTCCCCTGATCTCCTGGGTTCTCTCCCTTGGCAGGAGGGGGGCGGGGGCGAGGTAAAAATCTCACAAGGCAGATCTTGTGGACTCCAACGAAAGAGGCCTCAGGGCACCCAAAGAAGAGACCAAGACTTGATAGTGTGGATTCCGAGTTCTGGGAGTAATATACCAGCTGTCAGGTCATGGGAAAAGAACTCGGTCAAAGTTCCCCTAAATGGGAAGAATGAGGTTACACCTATAGAATACTAAACAAATACTGGATGCATGCCACTCATCTAAGGGCTGAAATCTGGGAGGAGGCAATAAGGGGCAACCCAAATGAGAAGAAATCGGTTAGAAGCTCCATTCTTGCTACAAGAGACATTGAGGATCCTAAGTAACTGGACACATACATGTTTTTGTATGGGCGGAAATAAAATTTTATATTTAAATATACTAGTTTGAAAGTGCTCAGTATCATTTCTCACCTATACAGACCTATGTTGCTTTTTGAAAGGTAAAAAATAATTTAAAAATTTAAACCTCACTTTATTAGTAACAGTAATCTCGTAACAATGATGTGAGAAGACTGAATTTACCTCCTCGGACAAATCCATTAGTAGCTATTGCTGATGTAGACAATCCTGTGATAGTTGTCACAACAGTGGCCATTATAATTACAACAACCGACAGACCTTGAGGGGAAAAGAAAAGAGGCTGAGAAATACTTATTTCAACTTGCTATATCTAGAAAAGGTTAATAAACCTAATTTACATTATAGTGAACAATTACCTTATTTTTACCCCATTTTAGAAAAATCAAACCAAAATTATAAAAAAAGGAACATTAAGACAACAATCTGATACAAAGTAAAAACAGCGTACAATAATTTCTAATTGTTGGATTTTAGGAGGTTCCCAGGCTAGATGAGCACACAGCTACTCTGCTTACTCATTCTCAAGTGAATCAAGCAGTATGGAACTTCGCTTACCTATTCCAGCTTGACCTACAATCCACGACAACCTAATGAAGAGCATCACACCCCAAATGTTCAACATACAACGTACCTAGAAAAGAAAAGAAGCCCAGTTACAGATGAAACAAAGTCATCAAACATAGTACATCAGTATATGTTAAACTAGCCAAAAGGAGGATAACATACATTTAGAACTATAGAAAATCACTTTAAATCTCTTACCCTTTTCTTTATATTATTTTTAAAAGAATTTACTGAGAGCCAAAATGTAAGCTAATTTAAGGATAATATAACACACACACAGCAGCAAAAGCAACTGAACAAGGTAAAAGGGTATTTTAAGACTTCAACCCTCAGAAAGTAGTTCCTGTTCCCATTTATCAAAGCAACTAGGTTTAATTTTTGCTTGTTCTTTATCAACAGACTTATTTCCTGATTCCTTCAGAAGATTCAGGTATTACAAAATATCTGTCAACACAAAACGCCAATTGTTCACACATGTTTTATTTTTTAAAGTATATTTATTTTTAAGTAATCTCTACACCCAGTGTGGGGCTCAAACTCACCACCCCAAGATCAAGAACTGCACACTCCTTTGACTGAGCCAGCCAGGTGCTCCTCACACATCTTTTAAAACTCTCAACTATTTGACAGAGCTTCCTGTATTTATTTTTACTTTTATTTATTATGCTTACACACAGAACATAGTCTTCTAAAATATGAACATTTAAGAATAGGCAAAGAGCACTACCTGGAGCTTCACATTTACTCTGTTCATTAAAAGTGATGAAAGTACTCCTAGAAGTGGGACTTCTCCTTGACTTCTTTTCTAAACGTCAACACAACTCTTAAGTACCCCCAAAGTCTAAATGGGAGGGCCTTTTAGTTTACCTGTCTACTCTAGTCAGTTCCTTAGTGCCTATGTGAACACAGAAAAACAGAAGCAAATCTGAAACTAAGTCACTCAAACCTATCTAGTGAAGTGACCTCAACACTTAAGAAAACAATTTCTCCTTTATTTTGTTCCTCATTAACTTTTATACATTTCTCTTCGAGAAAATAATGGCATAGCAGAAAAGGAAGCAGGAATCTATCAGCTCTATTGCCCGTTCAGCTTTCTTGATTCTGATGCTTCCAACAATTTCATCATTTCATACTTAATTTCTGACAAATGACAATATGTGAGATTTATAAGAGGTAACAGAATATAATTTAGAGGAAATCAACTACAGTATGATTCCATTAATACATATATCCTGTTTCCTTTACTGAATTTAATACAAGAAAAAGAGGTACATGTTATTAATATGGTCTTCTGTAAAAGACAAGCTCTCTTAAGAAATGATAAGAATATTAGGAAGATTTTCTAATAAAAAGAAATGTTGTAACTCTAAAATTAAGTCTATAGGTACGTACTAATACACCCTTGATCCAGCCAAACTTCACAACTCCTTTACTTTCCGCAGCATACGTGACCACAGCATCTCTGGTTGGAGTACTTTCTTCCCCATTGGCAAAGCCGTCCTCAAAAGGTTCCTGGTTATAAAAGAAGTGTGAATTATTCATTATTTGAAGTTCACAATCACCTGAAAAAGACAAATATCACTAAATACATTTAGTCATGTTTAAGAGGATACAGATTTCCAAGAATCAAGGGAGTCTGCATATTTTACCTAAGAAAAAAAATGTACAGCACATATTTTACCTTTAAAAAAAAATGTAGAGCAACAAAGTAGAGGAAAACCTTAATTAATGAGTGTTTAAAAAATTTAAATCTTATCATGACAGTAAACCCATTTTAATCATTTCAAATTTTAATTACACTTTGGTGGTGTCTGGAGAACAAATACTGTTTGCTAAGTATAGGCTTAGCTAAGTAAGTCAATTCAGACCTTGTTTCTCTGGCCACAACTTTACAGTATTTGGTTGGCATCCTTCCTACAAATGAAATTACAACATTAACAATTTAAAACTCCTCATCACCAGTGAACAGGTTTCCCACTATAGTCCGTTATAGCCGGATTCCCAAGATTCATTCCTAACTCCTGCCTTTACGCACTCTTCATCTGCATTCAACCATTTAGTGCTTTTTTTCCATTGTAATTTTTCTCAGATTCAGACATGAACTGGTTTTTATCCTTCATGTCTGATTGTATTATTCTTATATTTTGTTCTCTAGCTTCCCTCTCTCTCTCCCTCTTCCTTTAGTTTTCTTGTTCGGTTCCAATACACCCAAGATAAATGACACATTTCCAAACGAGGAACAACGTTATTAAACAGGTCATGAAGGGTGAAGGGAGGTGTTGGGGCAGGGAAAATGCTTTATGTCTAGAATCATGTCCCTGACACTATCCCCATAATTTTTCTTTACCTGTATGTCAACAGCAGGGAACAAAATACAGCTGTGTTTTTAATCTCATTCTTTAAATGGAGAAAAATCAACTAAATTATCATATAACCCTCAAACTTGTCATCCAGATTTCCTACCATACTTTTTTAAGCCATTTTCAGTGGTTCATACTCTCTAGTGATTTCCTAATACAAATATTTTTCACAGAAATGAGCTATACCAGATGCTGTGTTACCAGAGAGAAAAATCTATGTCATAACCCTAACTTTCCCTATTTGCTTGACCAGTATCTATTAGGCAAGTAAGCTCATTAAATTCCATTTGATGTATTGTATTTCTTAAGATCAACCTGGATCAGCTCTTACATTCCATATTTAGTTGAATGACTACTAATTCTTAGGTTTTGAAGCCACAGAAGAAACATTGTAGGTTAGATGCAATAGTTTCTTTAAATATATTTTTTCAAATTATTTTACCTAGGCTTTTTAATGACAATAAAAAAATAATCTAATTTTCAACTAATCCTCATTCTCCATTAAAAGACAAAGCAATAACTTCACCTACGTGAAACATACAAAAAACAAGTCCGCCTAAGATCACAAAGAACTTAAACATGAATGTTAGTGTTAACCACAAATCTGTGATAGTTGACAGAGTTCTAAAAACAGAGCCTACGGGACATAAATTATAATAATTGCCCTTATAACTCACAGTTTCATAACTACTATCTTCGGCATCAATGATTACGGTTCTGTACTCTAAGAAGATTGCCCCAAGCGTATGGTATATAGAACCACTCCCATTAACAAAAATTAATTAACTTAATCTGCTATACTTTTTGCACAGATTTATGGAGATATAATTCATATACCACACAACTCACCCAATTAGAGTACACATGTCAATGACTTTTAGAAAATTCACCAAGTTTCACCATTATCACCACAATCACACAATCAATTTTAGAAAATTTTCATCATCTCAAAAAGAAATTCTAAGCCCATCAGCAGTCATTCCCATTTCTCCTTTGCTCCAGCTCCTGGCAATCACTTATCAACTTTCTGTCTGTGTGGATCTCCTATTCTGACATTTCATACAAATGGAACGGAATCATGTGATGTGTGGCCTCTGTCTGTGGCTTCTTTCACCCAGTGTAACCGTTTTCAAGATTCATCCATATGTTCAGTACTTCACTCCTTTTTATTGCCAAGTAATATCCCATTGTATGGATATACCACATTTGTCTATTTGTTCTTCACTTGATGAACATTTGAGTCCATTCCACATTATGGCTGCTATGAAATATGCTCCTGTGAACATGTGTGCACAAGATTTTGTGTGGACATACATTTTCATTGGAACTGAAAACAGAATTTTCAATTCCAGTGGAATTGCTGGGTCTCATTTTTGAAATGACTACTTCTGGTCATTTTTTTTCTTTGGTATCAGACTGCAGAGTGTCACTCCTCACTTCAGTCAGTCCATGTGCCTTTTGTTATTCCCCTTCCTCACTTAGCATCTGGTATAAACAATGTAATCAGTAACCATAACTGTTAGAAACACGTATAGGCAAGAAAAAAAAAGAAATGTGACCAGAGGCCTGTGTGACTCAATCACAAGAGCAACCCACTTTGCCTTTATTTCCACTGTTGAAGGTGTTCTGGACAGTACAACATCGATGATGATCCCTCCCCACTCAAAAAAAAAAAAAAAAAAGACTCCTCATAGGCATTGATGACTCAATAGTTCCAATATTCAAATAAAGCCAGAATAAAAATTTCTCCCTGTTAATTCAATCAATTGTAAAGCAGACAGAAGCTCCTTGGCTTTCACTCTAGGGTATGTAGTGCTCTGCCCTTAACTTGTAAATAGAGACATTAATATATTATATAACCTTCCAAGTATTAAAAAAAAAAAAAAGTTTCTATAATATCCAAAAATACCTCTTCCTTTCCATTTTTATTTAAAACGAAAAAGACATATATATGTCATAAGCTAACTTTTCCAAGGTTAAGTATTAATGTGAGTCTTTTTTTTTTTTTTTTATGTTTATTTTGAGAGAGAGACAGAGAGACAAAGTGCAAGCTAGAGAGCCTGAGTAGAGGAGGGGCAAAGAGAGAGGGAGACACAGAATCCCAAGCAGGCTCCAGGCTCTGAGCTGTCAGCACATAGCCCCATGTGGGGCTTCAACTCACAAGCCATGAGATCATGACCTGAGCTGAAGTCTGATGCTTAACAGACTAAGCCACCCAGGCGCCCTAATGTGGGTGTCTTTTTAACAATGCAAAAAGCATGCAGGCATCTTAAAATTTTTGCTGTGGGTGTTTATCAGAATTCCACATCAAAGTTGAAGATCTAGTGATAACTATGCAAATTTCCACTATACTATGAACTGTATTCAAAACATGAAGATTTTCCTGCATGTATGAAAGCATATTTTAGAATAAACATGACTCCACATAAAATGAAAGTTATCTTCCTTTCCACGTCCCAATGCTCTATTTAAAAACCGTTACTAATCTCTAGCATACAATTAAAAAATGATAATCAAGTATTTATTACTTATAGTTCAATCAATACATTTAAATATAATAGAATTGGGTTTACATAGTATTAATTTCCTGCAGTAACACAAAATCAAAGTAGAATTCACATATTTTGTTCCTTTAAATAAATTAATTTCAGAAAAAGAATGAAAATGTCAGTGTGGGATTCTGCATACATGCAAAAAATTGTTTAAAAACCTTATAATCAGAAAATTTCACATTTACCATTAACAAATAAAATTATGCTGATAAAAAGCTACATAAATAATATCTTCAACCCAACTAACATTTTCACAGTTATGATCGGTTTGTGTTTTTTACTGTTTTTCACATAATGGATAAAAGGTCAAAAATAAACAACATAATTGAATTTTATGGCTAATACCATATCAAATGAGATGGACCAAGTGGACCAAATTAATTTGCATTTATGTGGGGAAAAATCTTTCAGAAAATATCAATTGTGATTCTGAGTCTACCAAACAGGACTGCTGTTCGGGTTGAGGACAGAATGGGGAAGAGAGGAAGAGACAGGAAAACAATAAAAGACCCAGAGAGTTAGGCCCTCAGTAAGTGGAAGGATTTCGAAATGAAAGAAAGAGATACTAGTAAATTATGTTAGCCTGAAAAGGGAATGATTAATTCAGCTGGACATGCTCAATTTGAGGAGTCATGAGACAATTAAAGAGTTCTATCAGGCTGTTAAAAAATTCATGACTGGAACTTAGGAGAGGGGCCAGGGATGAAGGGCAAGTGGGCGAAGCTATGGAAACAAAATGAAAAAAGAAACTTACAGAGAGAAAGAGTGAAGAGTTGACCATTTTTCTGAGGACACAGAAAATACAAAAATGAAAAGGAACTCTGGTCTCCATGGCCATTATTTCTTTGCAGAGTAGAGAAAAAATTTTTGCAGTGTGGGTAATCTCTTCTCTCCCTTCTCAACTCGATCATTCCTTCTCCTTTAATGATGGTTAACTTTTTACCACACAATGACCACCCCCTCCCCCCCCCCACAAAACCACCAGTACGTACCATTAACAAATACCCAGCCAAATTTGCTGAAATATTACAGCACATTCTTCAATGACGGCCAACCTGGCTTCACCCCACAACACAAAAATAGCTTTAATACATCCCAAGACTTCTCTGCTGCCACATCTAATGTACATCTTTCAGTCACTCTCCATTCAACTTTTGAAATGCATTTCACTGCTGACTACTCTTTCTTGAAACATTTCTTCCAATGCCACACTTTCTCATAGCATCTTCTACCCAGCAATTAAATATAACACTTGGTCCTAGACTCATCTCCTTTTCTTATTCTGTATTTTCTTTCTATGGTCATTTCACTAAACCCATGGCTTTAAACACTATCTGTATGTGAAGTAAAAATGATGGCTCCTATTCATTTCCAGATCAGACCTACCCTCTGAATTTCAGGCGGGAGTACACATAATGGTGTGCCACTTGGGTATTTTTTTTTTCTATTCTAATTCTTATGAAATGAGAAAAAGAAATTGTCAATGTGCTATAAACAGCAACTTTCCTCTGCATGAAAAGAAGCAAACAGTTTCTCTGTTTTGGATTAGGTTCAGTAAACACCTAACTATCAAAAAAAGTATTTGATGAGAAAAATAGCA